AAAGAGAGAGAGAGAATTAAATCTAAAATCCTTCTTATCTAGTAGGTTTTTTCATCCATTACTTACAATAATAATTGTGTTTTTACAAAATCTTCTATGATCAGTCTGCAATGTCTACTAGACAATTTACGATGTGGAAACTTACCTTTAAAATTGGAAGATTTCAATTCTCTGATGTTTCTCACTCCAAAATGTTTCTTCGAGTAGTAGAAGTAAATGTAGTTCCCTCTTAGGCCGACAAGCTTAAATATTATAATATCTACGTCACAAGAAGTAGCCCCCACGTCAAAATATGCAGGGTGTAACTGGCACTGTTGTGTAAGGCTTCGGCCCACCAATTCTCGCGATAGACCGCCAATTATCCAAATTACCGAATTTACAAGCCGGGAATAATGAAGCAATAGTCGTGTTATGAAGGAGTGAAGTAATTAAGCAATTGAAGGATAAATAAAGCGATGACGTAGTTTGGGGGAATTGGAAAGCCGAGTTTAATGCTAACAAAGGTAAAAATTCTCTCGTCGTTTTAGACCACAATAGGTTGCTTTGATGGTGGCGTCATTTTACTACCATTATCAATTATTTTTAATTTATTATATTTGCCTGGGATAAAGTGGAAAAACTTTGAGGGCGTCACCTATTGATACTCCCGAACTCTTGCGTCACACTGATGTACAAGCTCTCAAACATGTATTCGCTATTTTATTTAGATAAATTATTACTATTATTAGTATTATTAGTATTATTAGTAATTATCATTATTATATTATTACTTTTACTATTACTGTTTTACAATTGTTGCTATTATTATTGTTGTTGAATTTATTATTATTGATATAGTATTGTTTGTTTTTTGTTATTATTGCTAGTATTGTTGTTGTGTTCGTAATTACGCGGTTTCGAGTTCAATTAGGAGGCAATTAGCACAATTGTGTTTTTCTGTAACAATAGCATGGCAAAATTGGACAAGATTGTGTATGAGGTGAACACGAATCTGGAGTTCAAAAGAAGGTCTCGTGAACAAGAGGACCATCCAAATATACGGGGTTAAGTAGACTCTTTGACCAAAGCAAAATATGATCAATAAAGAATCAATTTCAGTAAAGGTCTCGTGAACAAGAGACCATTTGAATAAAGAATGACCGGGGTTGAGTAGACGCTTTGATCAAAGCAAATATGGTCAATAAAGAATCAATTACAGTAAAGGTCTCGTGAATAAGAGACCATCTGAATRAAGAATGTACGTTGTTGAGTAGACGCTTTGACCAAAGCAAATATGGACAACAAAATCAAAATCACATACAGTAAAATAATAGGTTTATTTGTTCCACTATTTGTTGGCCTGCAAATATTTATAAATAATTTGTTTGTGAACTGTACAATATGGGGTATGTATGAAATCAAATTTGGAGAGGAGCAGACGGACAGAAGTTTTTCAGTAAAAAACCGATGGGACTAATACATTAGGACAAATAGTGTGGTTGATCAACGCTTCTGAATTTCCACGCAAGATTGGGGTATACGGTTTGGTTATAATTGGGGGCGCAAGATGGCCGAGTTTATATCAAGCTATATGATCTTGCCCTAGTTTCGGCCATAACATATGGGGTAATACAGACGATAAGTCGGCCTTTTAACGCTATTAACAATTTCTACCTAAATAGAGAATTCATTACATTATTTCTGTTTTGTTTTATTATTWTTTTAATTGTCTTTAAGGAGAACGGCTCTACTATTTCTGTCAAAGGAGTCGATCCTCTGAAAGCTTGATAGTAGGCTCTCGTGTTACTAGAAAAGGTCGTCGGAGAAAAACGTCCGCTAAAGGAGAAAGGGCTTTCTTCTTTGATGTCAGAGAAGCTTCTGCGGCATCCACACTGATGTATTTCAGTTATTTGCTATTTTCTAAATCTAAACCTCAGGTCTCTTATCAGGAAAGTATTCGTCAAGTTGGGTCGACGCCATAAAGAGACTCGTATGTCGGTGGGTCATTCGTAAATCCTTCATTATCCAGCCCCCTCTCCGCCTCTATTGACCGTTCTTCAACAGTCTCCTCTGTACAACCACTATTTCTCCGTCCAACGTCTCTCGCTGGCGACTGTTCTTCGTCATCCTGGTTTACCGCCTCGGCATATGGAGGAGGACGATCCTCCGCGATTAAGCAATCAGGAATATCGTCCAGCGGAGGGACGCGCATTGGAGGGATGACCGCTAGGTCGTGATCACGTGGACGAGAGTTTGGCCGTCGACGATATCTCTTTTTTAACAGCCAATACGTGAAAATAATTGCTAGTGTAATCAAGATAAAGCCAGCGAATACGATTAGGGATATAGTTATTGCTGAAAACAGAAAAGGAAAAAAACACTCAATATRATACTCCAAGGTTGTGTTTTTTTTYCCAGATTTCCCGGGTTTTCCCGTGTGTAGTCAAGTCTACAGAATATTGGCGGCTTTTTCTGCGCTATAGGTATTTTAATTTTTGCTGCGCTCTTCACAAGCATCACAATTCCATCCTTTAGTTTACAACTTCTTGAAAATCAGAGATGGTGGAAGCATGAGTGAAGTAGCGGTGAGAGCGCCCGCCTCTATTTTTCACAGAAAAATGCCGATATGATATAGATATTGGAATGACTAAATATTATATACATAAAAAATATCATCAAGGTCTTACCTCCAGCTGCAAGAGAACCAGAGCTTGTTGTTCCTGGCAAAAATGTAAAAATACAAACATCATTGCAACAATAATATTAAAACAAGGTGTTTCTGTGACGATGTCGGGAAACACAAAGTTTTCAAGACTACTGAGCACGTATCACGAAAACTCCTTGATAGAACTTCATGAGAGTCGGCCTTTCTTATCTCCGCATAAATTACGTTCAACGGTAGAATATTATTAGATAGTTTAAGATTCTCGTTTACGGCAAACATGAAACGTCAGATGACCATTAAAAAATTATTTAAAATTAGTGAAAAGCAATCGCAAAAATCTCCAAGTCGTAGATAAACAAAAGAATACTTGTCTTTGTCGAGAAGGTTTGCTAAAGGTAAAGTGAAATGTAGGGAAACGATGAAAACGTGGTCACGTTTGCCGTTTGCGGGAAGGAAAAACGGGAATCTTAATCTACTTAATATCAAAAATAACACATTTCCATTGCAAGAAGGCAATTACAATCCATGACTGACTCCCCTTTAAACCTCGTCCAAACGTATCTAGCCGGCGTAGCGGCCAACAAGATAATCGCGTGGGGTTGGGATTCGGAAGGCAATATCCTTTCCAACCCCTCTCCGAATCTCAAACCCACGATTATCGAGGGCCGGCCGCTACACAGGCTAAATATCCGGGTATTTCTGAAAACGGATTTTTCAGTTTTTTTGCGGGTTGGCCTCGAAAACGAAACTTTTTGGTAACCGGATACGTGTGGACGGGTGAAAACGGATAAGAAAGCACTGCACGTGTGGAAGAGATTTTTTAAAGAAGCGGCCCGTAATAAAAAAAATTGGCATTTTCCAAAAGTATCAGGATACGTGTGGACGGGGCCTTAATCAAGGCAGAAAAACTTGGATTGAATTACCGACCAACCATAGAGCCGACAAAGCAGGTGTTGGGGGACCTCACTCAAGTCCTGACCAAGCATAGAGCCGACCAAACAGGTGTTGGGGGACGTCACTCAAGTCGGTTTCCATGGGGTTGTCGGGGAAAAATAAAGTCTTCAAGAGCTCGTTTCAAGGAAACGCCTTGATACAGGTCCACGTAAACCRCCCTATTTTGTCGCCGCGCGAATTGTAGAATACCTACGTTCAACAGAAGGTAATTAAAAAACCACGATCATCGAGGGTTTGCGATTGGTTCAGTGAAATGGGAAGATCAAGAAAATTTAGGACAATTATAATCCATTATGGACTTACCTTTTATCATGGCAGAAAAACTTGCATCGAATCCTTGACCAAGCATGGAAGTGTTTCCCGACTCAAAGTGCACGAACAGTCGTCTGTCAGTCGACCGAAACCTGACAGACGACACTTCAGTCTTACAAAACTTGCCGAGGCTTTTACTAAAGGAATAGTATCCATCTCTAACTTCGACATAACCAGATGTACAGGGCTCTAGTAGGGAAATGCGGTTGAATATCAGTTGCACTTGGTAGCCATAATGAACGGTGATTTTCCAAGTGCATTTGATGTCAGGAGGAAACGGAGCTGGATATCCGGGACTTGTTAGACTACCTGACATGCTCTCGCCAAAATTCAGGTTAGTGTTCCATGATTGGTCGAAATCCCTAGAGCAGTTACCTAGCAACGAAATAGAAGGGTTTGAATCAGAAGCAAGGTCGAATGAGACTTTTTGGCCGCAGAGAAGTAACTAAATAAGCAACTTAGATGAAATAATGGTGGCAGCGGTGAGAAGCAGCCGGTCATGCGCACAAAACCATATACACCCATTTTAAAAAACGTTGTCATCGCCAAAGGCGATAGGCGATAAGCGAAAAGCAATAGGACTCAGTTGTGTTTCTACTTCTCATTCTCGTCAAGAACATGGACCTTAGTGTAGAGACTGAATCAATGTTCTTTGTATTCAACGAGACCATTTCCATGTCGGAATGACTTATTGCCTATCGCCTTTGGCGATGACGACGTTTGTTGAAGTAGGTGTATACTACACTTAAAAACTGATTAAATATGTAATCAAAAGAAAGACTAATACTAAAACTTACCAGCTTTGATCATTCTATATGTGACATAAAATCCTTTGTACGCTTCACTGGTCGTGTGCTGTGAAATAAACCTCAGCCACAATTCCCTACCACTTGAATAGATCCTAGAAGCGCTTTGCACATTACAAAACCGTCCCTTGAATGGACTATTCGAAGAACCTCCATCACGGACCTCTATATAGTCTTGAGCACAAGGAAGTGGGAAATGTATCGATGTAAAATTTAGCTCCACGTGATAGCCTATCGGAGCTCTTACATGCCATGTGCACTGCATTCCACGTGTGTAGGGCAGAGGATAATTAGGGCTGGTGATATTCCCTCTAGTGCTATTGACGACTAAATTGTCATTGAGATCATGAGGATTTCCTTTTGAACATATTCCTGGACCTGTAAGAAGATTTTCATTTTATTTCAACGGACGATAGACAGGTTAAGTTTGAATGTAATGTTTGGTTTTCCATTTGAAATCACGTGTCATTCCCTTCTTGGGGTCAAACGCGATGAAACATTGCACGCAATATTTGACGCAACAGGACTATTCCAGCGCGCAAGTCCATCCGCCTGAAATTTGTGACACAATTGAACACAATTTCCTGCAACAATTTCGAAGTCGAATCGCGTTCTACTTCTGCAATAATCCGAGCAACAAATTTCATTGTTTGAATGTACCTACATTGCGTGCGGTTATCAAGCAATCAGATAGAGTTGTAATTACAACCACTGACCAAACTTCCTGGAGTCGCAGGCGCCTTAGTAATCGCGTCGAGATAGATAGACCAATATTGCGCGAAATGTTGCAATGTGCGTTAGTTAGCCCCCTCTCATTTCTGTCGCGTGCAGAGCTGCTTACGATGTTTCGCAGCGGGGACTGCACTTTTAAAAAGAGCTGCAAATCTTAAGAACACATCACTGTGAACTTACCAAGCTCAAGAATGAAGTGAGACAACTTGAATCCTCTACACCCTGCAAAGGTGCTACTTTGAAAAACCAACGTGATAGCATTCCCAGTTGAAAACATGTCAAAAGGCAAATTGCTTCCACAATATCGGCCAAGACTTTGGTCTGAGATATCTTTGCCATCAAACCCTTCCACAAACTCGAAACTACAAGAGGAATAGAGCTGGAAGTCGTGAAAGTGAACTTGGATCCTAAGTGAACTTGGTACTGTGATGTGCCAGGTGCATTTGAGGTTAGGGGGGTAGGGGTGGGGGTAGTTTGGAGTGGTGAGCACGCCTGGTGTGTCTTTAATGAGGATATTGTTTTCTTGGTCGGTGTTTACTGGGGAACACCTCCATGGTTCTAAAGAGAAGACAAAAATATTCTTTACTTCGGTATTGATTCTTTTTATAATTAGATTATTTGAATGAATCAAACTTAATGCGATGACGCGGTAACAAATGTTCGGTGAAATTATAAAGGCCTTATTTGACGTCAGTGTTCCTTCAGCTAGTAGCGGGTCTTCCAGAGAGTTGACGGTGCGCTGCACTTTATCCCCCTCTGTCAAGTCATCAGTGGTCTGTCTTAATATTCAAAGCTGAAGCTACACGGATTAGAATGAAGTCGAAACAGATGTCTGAGATCCTGAGGATGGAACCGTGGAAGACCTCACACAAACCAAGTGAGCTACGCATGCTCCTAAAATCATCTCGAGCATCAGTCTTGCTCTACAGAATTTTACCTCTTCTTAAAATAACATAACGTATGTCTAAAGAATATGTTTTGTAACTCACCAGGGGTTACGGCGCTGTAGAAAGCCTGGAACCCAGTCATCTGCTCTGAATAATCAGACACAAACATCATCCACATGTTATTCGACGTGGAGTAAATATCATAAGGTATTGTGATGCCACATAAGTTTTCTTGCGTCTTCAATGGACTTGAACTATTGTCGCCATCACGAACCTCAACGAAGTCATAAACACAGCCATGATTTTCGACGTTAAACGCGACAAAGTGAAGTCTAATACGATATCCAGAAGGCACTGTTATAATCCAAACGCACTTAAAGTCTGATGGATACTTTGAAGGATAGTTGGGAGTCATTATGACGCCTTTTTTGTCATTAAGTTGGATGTTTGAATTCATTTGTTTGGTGTTTATCGTTGAACATGTTCCTTTTGCTGGCGAGAGAATGAGAATATATATTATATAATTTCCCATCACACGAACAAGCAAGCAAGCAAGCAAGCAAGCAAGCAAGCAAGCAAGCAAGCAAGCAAGCAAGCAAGCAAG